GATCTTAACCTAGGTAGCCTGGCTCAAGTCCATGCTCTTAACTAGTGTGATACAAAAGAATAAAAGAAGAGTGTCAATAAAGGGATGGTAAAAATACATCAAGATATGTCAATTACATCTCCATAAAGTTGGGAAAAAAAGATATGCCAGGAAATTGTTAACCGAAAGAAAGCAGGTCTGACAATGTTGATATCAGACAAGATAGAATTGGAAGAGGAAAGCTCTGAAAGGGCCAAAGAGGAATATTTCACATTGTCAAATGGTAGACTTCATCGAGAAGCATCGGCACCAACCTTTATCTACCTAATAGGTTCAAAATATAAACAAAACCCGACTGAAGTACACTTTAACAACAACAAAGCCAGAATCATGATGGGAGACTAACATGCCTCTCAGAGAACATAAGATAAAGAAAAATTTAAAAATAAGGGCACAGAGGACATAAATAATCAACATATTACCTACAGCTAACGTCCTTGTTAGCGAAAGACCAAACGCTTTCCTGTTTGTGAATTTTCCACCAGGTGCACCTATGTTTAAAAAGAAACGAAGGTACCTCTATTTTTAAAATGGTAAGAAATATCCATCTGATACTTCTCAATTTTAGCTATCAACACTCTTCTGCATCTCAGTTGGGCTTTAAAAGTGAGATTGAGGGGCCAGCCCCATGGTGTAGTGGTTAAATCTGGCACACTACGCTTCGGGAGCCTGGGTTTGCAGGTTCAGATCAGAGCACGAACCTACACCACTTGTCAAACCATGCTGTGGCAGTGACCCACATACAGAATAGAGGAAGACTGGCACAGATGTTATAGCTCAGGGCTAATCTTCCTCAAGCAAAAAAAAGGAGGGGGGGAAGATTGGCAATAGATGTTAGCTCAGAGCGAATCTTCCTTACCAAAAAAAAAAAAGTGAGAGTGAACCAAAAGAATACTTGTTCTTTCTAAGCACAGCCGAAAATATCCTTGCTCTTCTGAATCAAAATAAAACATAAAACTAGGGCCGGCCCCATGGCATAGCGGTTAAGTGCGCGCGCTCCGCTGCTGGCGACCTGGGTTCGGATCCCGGGCGCGCACCGACGCACCACTTGTCCGGCCATGTTGAGGCTGTGTCCCACATACAGCAACTAGAAGGATGGGCAACTACGACATACAACTATCTACTTTATTTATAAATAAATAAAATTATAAAAAAAAAAAAACGTAAAATTATCTTCTCTGCGGAGCACACCATAGATAACACGTCTTTTCAGAAAGTCTTTCCATACACTAGACAGATTGTCTTATCAGGGTTTGGAAAAAAAGAAAACTGCATGAATACTCAGTTCTTGCTCCTCAAAGTGGCTGAATTATTTTCTTTGATTTCCAACACAGTACATTAGAAGTTGTAGCAAACCTACGAGTGCGTGCGTGTGGTGGGGCTGGGGCTGATTCCCAGGGAGACTTCAGGTATCATCTGTGCCCCGTGGAGAGGGAGCACATGAAAGCCTTTCCAAGACCCTCACCTGCATGGTTCTTCTTGTGGCTGCAAAGGGTGAGGGGAGAGGGCACAATCTTGGCACTGCTTGAGGCCTTCCTGCAGAAACTGGCAGAGATGCTAGACCGACACAAGATGCCAGCCAGCCTCCTTCGTGATTAGCTCTCGGAGATGGAAAACTGTTAAGTCATCAGGGTCCTTCTCAACAGGACTGGAGGACAATGTTTGTCCAGGAAAGCAGATTAGTATGATTAAAGATGATTACTTTACAAGGTGGAAAGCTTGTACTTTTGCTGCAATGGTAAAAATCATCTTTTCCACCAATGTCCTAATAACTTATACCTTTCTCAATGGACTTCACCTATTTATATACAGCATTTATTCAACATTCAACAATTAGCAGGTACTGTGTGCTAGGTGCCAGGGGTAGAGCTGTAAATAGGATAAATAAGGTCCTTGTTCTAACAGAGTCCTTAGGCTGCTGGGGGAGAAAAAATTAATAGAGAGAAAATTAACTGCAGAGAGTGATAAATGCTATGAAGAAAACAGAACACTATGATGCAGCTAGGGCTGCCAGATAAAATACAGTACACCTGATTCAAAGTGAATTTCAGATAAACAATGTATCATTTTTTAGTATAGGTCCCATGCAATATTATAAAAAATGATGCATTGATTTTCTGAAATTCACATTGAACTGGGTGTCCTGTATTCTGTTTGCTAAATCTAGCAACCCAAAATGTCACGCTACTGGGTGTGAGGAGTGGGCAATTTCAGACAGGGTGGAAGGCCTCTTTGAAGAGGTGGCATTTGAGCTGGAATCTGAATGTAGAGAAGGAGCCAGTCGTTCAGAGATCTAGCACAGCTTTCCAGGCATAAGAAAGAGCAAGTGTAAATGCTCTGAAGTGGGAATAGCTTGGAGCTTGGAAGAACAGAAAGGAAGGTGGGGTAGCTGAGCTGAGTGAGGGTGGAGAGGAGGAGGAGGGGACAGGATGAAGTCAGACAGGTCGGCAGGGGCCAGATCTTGTAGGGTTTGTAGGCTATGATGAGAGATGCTGAGCAATTTTACCAAAAACTTACACCCATAAGCCTTTCACTAAAACAGAGCAACTTTTTATATTTTATCCAAATGAACTGCTTTTACATATTTGTAGCCAGGCTGCTGTCAAAGACAAAGCCAGACATTGTGAAAACATTTTATTCAGTAACTCCTGGCAGTAGGGGAAAGAGCTGAGCTCCACTGGGACTTCTGCAGAGGTGACCCGGCATATTAAAGGGAACATGAGGAAGTAGGGGACAGAGTGGGGGCTCAAGCCAAAACTTACAGAGAGTTGGTTAGTGTAAATGTGACTAGGCCAGCTGTGTCTGCTAGCTGGCAGTTATCAAAGTTAGGCTTCCAGCCCCCCAGAGAAACTGGAGACAGAGGCCCTACCTCCCTGATGTCTACATTTCAGAGGAATGGCTTTCAGGTCCTTGAGAAATACACTCACTGAATTATACGACATACACATATATCTCAAAGGGACAGAGGAAGGATTCACAGTTGTAAGCCCTTTTCAGTAAATCCTCTAAGTGAGGTTGGGGCCTGTCCTCAGACGTTGGCCAGAATAAACAGTAAATTCTCCTGGCAGCATTGAGCTTTCTCAGGCATTCACTGGGGGGCGGGGGTGGGTGTGTACAGATGGACACTGGGGTCATCCTAGGGACACGGCCTCATGCTGCTAGAAGCCATGTTCAAATTCGGTCATCTCGTAGTGCAGAGGTTTGGACAGAGTTGTTATGTGCTGAGAATTCTTCAGTTCTCATTCTGTAATTCTGCGTTCTCATATAATTCTGTGTTCTTGTCATATTTGTTTCCTTGAATGATGACCAAATAGTGTGCCTTTCAGTCCCAGGAGTAGCAAGCTGACAATTCTAAGGGATAGACTCTGAGTGGAAACAACTGGGCCTGTGAGGGAGGAGGAGGAAGTGGCCAAAATGAGGGTTGGGATTCCCATAAGTCACCATTGGTTCATCTCTTTCCCACACTCAATGTATCATAAGGTCCTATGGGCTCTCCCTCTAAAATATATCCTGAAACTGTCCACTTCTCCCCGTATGCAGCGACTCACCCTGGTCCAGGCCATCACGTCTCTCTCTTGGATGCCTCCAACAGCCTCCTCATTGGTTTCCCTGCTTCAAGCTCTTCCCCTCATCCAGTCCATTCTCCATGCAGCAACTCGTGGGCTTTTTAAAATATAAATTTGGTGGTCATCCTGTAATGGATGCATGTAAGACAGTCCAAAAGACACAGGCTTATGAGGCCTACGTCATCCGGCTCCTCTAACTTCATCTCCTGCCCCTCTCCACTTCATGAAGCCTCAGCCTAGCTCATGCCTGCCTCAGAGCCTTTGCTATTGGCATCCCCTCCTCCTGGAATGCTCTCCAGGCTGATCTTCCCCATTTTTTAAAAATTTAATTATTTCATTGAAGTCATATTGGCTTATAACATCGTGTACATCTCAGACATACATCACTATATTTCAGTTTCTATATAGACTGCACCATGTTCACCACCAATAGTCTAGCTTTTATCCATCACCATACACATGTGCCCCTTTACCCCTTTCGCCCTCCCCACACCCGGCCCCTCTAGGAACCACTAATCTTTTCTCCTTATCCCTGTGTTTGTTTATCTTCCACGAGTGAAATCACGTGGTGTTTGTCTTTCTCTGTCTGACTTATTTCGCTTAGCACAATAACCTCAAAGTCCATCCATGTTGTTGCAAATGGCACAACTTTGTCTTATTTATGGCTGAGTAGTATTCCATTGTACATGTATACCACATCTTCTTTATCCATACATCAGCCGATGGGCACTTGGGTTGCTTCCACTTCTTGGCTAGAGTGAATAATGCTGCAATGAACACAGGGGTGCACAGATCTCTTTGAATTGCTGATTTCAAGCTCTTTGGATAAATACCCAGTAGTGGGATAGCCTGATCATATGGTATTTCTATTTTTAATTTTTTGAGACAGTCTGATCTTCACACAGCTGTCTCCTTGCTGAAGTTCAGGTCAGTTGTCACTTGTTCACTTTTCTCATCATCCCATTCACCTTCCAAGTCACTGCCTGCCATATCAGCCTGTTTTTTATTTTCTTCTCATAGCACTTATCAAGGTCTGAAATTATCGTATAAGTTCATTCTCTTTCTCCTTCTAAAACATAAGCTCCTTGAGGGGCAGGAAGTTCTCTTCTATCTGAGACGCTATGGACATGACTTTGGGCAGTTCCTTCAACAGTTACTAAGACCTACTACGTGCCTCACATTAAGCCCTGACATCAAAATAGGTCGCAATCCAGAGGCCACTCGCTGAATCTGTGCTGTCTCAGCAAAATGAGGATTCCGATGCCCGTTAGAACGGTGAGAGCCAAACGGCATTGTCGTTTGTGACGTCAGCGCAAACACAGAGCGTGGTCGCGATTGGTCACTCGAGCTCGGCCCGAGAGCTCCGGGCCCCGCCCCCCGCCTCGGCCCCGCTCACGCATGCGCCCCGGCCTCAGCCTCGCCGCCGCGCCATTTTGCCGGGGTTTGAATGTGAGGCGGAGCGGCGGCGGGAGTGGGTAGTGCCGGCTACAGTCCGCGGCTGCGATTCCCTTCTCCGTCCCCGTATCCCCACGAGGTGAGGCGCGGGGCCTGCACGCCCTGCCAGGGTGGCCTCCTGGGGCCCCGCGGGGGAGGGCTGAGGCGCTCCCGGCACTTCCGAGCGCTGGGAAGCCAGGACCGCGCCTCTGGGCGGGAGCGGAACGTGGGCCCGGGCCTCGGGCGGCGCCCTCGGGCAGGGGCTTGGCCTTCGTTGGCGGCTTTCGCCTCCCCTCACGGCGTCCCAGGTCTCGGGCCCAGGCCCGGCGGCCCCGTGGCCTGTGAGGGGAGAGGGCAGCCGAGGCGCGGCCTAACGCGAGCCGCCCGAGTGCCCGCCCCTTCCCCTCCAGTGCCGCGCTGATTGGCCGCGCCGCCTCCGTGCCGCTCGGGAAGGCCGCCTCTCATTGGTCGCGTCCGCGCGTCCGTTCTGGGCGGTCGGGGCCGCCCGCAACGTGAGCCGAGTGCGGCGGCGAGGCCTGTCGGGCTGCGGGGCTGGGGCTGCCGCCCGGCGCCGGAACCGCCTCCTGCCGCGGGCTCACGTTGTGATTAGGGAGGAGCGGGGCTTGACCGCCCTTGCTTCAGTCTCCCCGACTGTAAAATGGGCGTCGCGATCTCGCTTTGCTGAGTTAGGATTGAATTCTCGTCCGTGCCCCCGCCCAGTTTAGGGGTTCCCCTCTTCCGGGAAGCGCTGTGGTGCGGTGCCTCGGAGCGTGGGCTTTGGAATTGGAACGCCTGGGTCTCTTCCAGATTTAGCCTCTCCCTACGAGTCTGATTAGGGCTGGTCCCTTCATCTCCCTGAAGCTCCGTTTCCTTATCTGCTAAACGGGGTTGAAAATATAATCTGCCTCATAAAGCGGCCGTGCGGATCCACGGAGTCGTTACGTGGTTTACGAGGCCCCCCCTGAGGTGGCCGTCGTCCACCGCCCCCACCCGTCTCTCCCCGTCCTCAGCCACCGTGTCCGTACTCACTTGACCTTCCTCTTTGTTAAGGGGTCGAAGCTCAAGCCCGCGTAACGGGTTTGGACCTGCCTTTCGTTTGCTTGGAAATTACCAGCGTGAGATCCTTGCAAGGCCAGCTCCCTGTCCTGCGGGTTTCACTCGCGGAGGCCTTTTCTGGCAGCTCTCCAAAGACCTCTGCCTTTCCACTCCTCGTCACATCCCTCTAGCAGCATTTACTTGGCAGCGATTATCCTCATCTAGAAGTGCTTACGGTTTACCCGTTTATTGTCCGTCTCGACTGCTAGGACGTAAACGTGGAGAGCAGGGACCTTGACTCTTGTTTACTGCCGTGCCCGGGTGGGCAGTGCTCACCACATGGTAGATGCACAAGTGTTGTTTCGTGGCGGCACGGGAGGGGATTTTACTCTTGGATCCCACCAGTGCTCTTTTTCTGTTCCCCTTGGGGCCCCTGTAGTCGAGTTTTTGGCCCCCTTTTTTTGTGTCTTCATTTTTTGCATAATCTCTGGGACTCTTGATCTACCCTCTTCTCTCTTAAGATCCTTTATCTTTCACTTCTTTCCATCAGTGTAGGGGAATTCTTTCTTTACTTCTGGTTACTTTGATTTCTGCTAGTTGGGGCCTGGGGCAGAGGGAAACCATTTCCTATACAGGATGGGGTGGATTTGAGAGCAGTGCTCTACCTTTGGCATTAATTTGTTCCTTTATTCGTTTAATGCCTTTATTGAGTATCCACCTAGTCTCTGGGAATACAGTGAAGAAACAAAAATGGACAAGGTCAGGGGCCAGCCCAGTGGCCCAGCGGTGAAGTGTGCTTGCACCACTTCAGCGTCCCAGGGTTCACAGGTTGGGATCCAGACCAGCACCGATGCACCTCTCATCAAGCCATGCTGTGGCGGCGTCCCATATAAAGTAGAGGAAGATGGGCACAGATGTTAGCCCAGGGCCAGTCTTCC